CGTGTAATAGTTATACATAAAAGTCCAAGGTTTCCCTGTACCAAAACTGATCAGGATGGTAATAATTTGACTTACGCGTTTCCGTCTAGATACATTGTTTTGCGTTTGGGGGTTCTGTTCCCCGTTTCTTCTGTGTTACTTAATTGTTGCAATAGTACGTTTTTTTTAAATTCGCCCACTCTTATTTAAAGAATTGAATTCTAATACTTTTTCTTTACACTGTAAAATAATACTTTTTTACGTATTCTTCTTTGGTTTTTTACCGATACACCAGACCAATAAGGGAAATGTGGTATGTACGCAAATGCGTAGAAATTCAGGATTCAATAGACCGAATGATTGTCAAAAAATCTACATAAAACGGCTTTTTTGTGTATACACTTCTTAAATTTACATTCTCGTCGAGTTTATAGAAGTATTTTCCAGATATTCTAAAACGGCGATGTTTTGCAAAATGCGTATACTGACGAATTAATAAACTCAACCCAGTAACACTGTGGAATGGAAATTAGTGTTAAAGCCATTCCGTGACCGTTGGCAATGTATACCAATTCGATATCATTTCGCATACGAGTAAAATATGTTTTTTTACTTCCACGGGGTAATGAATTATACTGGCGTCGGTGTCGTAAAAAACTCGGTTGCTGTATTCGTTAAATTTTCTTCCAAATAACCTTGTGGTGAACATTATCGCCACTGCCTCATCCTTCGCTAAATCTTTTTCGCAGTTAGCTTCGACGTCGGTCTCTAACGTCTGTACATACATTCTTGGCAATAGTAGCTCGTATTCTCTTATTTGCTTTCGTCTAATCATATTATCATCTACACGATTAAAATGCTCTGAATGGAACCCGTCTTTACTAACTTTGGCGTTAGATAGGTGACAAGAAAATTTGCGACATTTGAAATAGGCGCGACGCATGTAATATAAACAACTGCCATCTTACTGGCCATATTACTTCTTTTCGAATGAATGTGCAAAGCACAATTGGGATAATGTTCTGCGATCGTTTTGCGCAGAAAATAGGCGTATTACTTCTAAACCCTGGAAGGTGCGTTTTCAACCTCCACTTTCTAACGGTACCCCATAATTTGTATATTGTTAAAGAACACCTCCTCGGTACCCGAAACCATCTCCAATTGGCCCTGAGAGGCCGTTAGGAACCCGTAGTCATTGCATCGATCGCCTACTGTTAACTTCTTCATCTTTCGTTGGCCTCCAACATCGCCACATCAAATTTCAGCTCTCTGATGTTTTTTATTAACGTCTCCAGCCTGCTTCTCTCCCGCGCACTTTCCACTTTTATAACTCCGGTACGTTTAGTTACACAGTTTCGAATGATTACCTACTCAACTGATGTTGCTTAATGAACTCATCGTCACGGAAGAAAACCTTTTATTATAAATGAACAACCTTCATGTGACCTTTGGACTTCACCTTGACCTACTTTTCAAGGTCACCTTAATGCGACCTTTGGACTTCACCTTGGCGTACTGTCCTTGCCAATTCACCTTGATCTACTTTCCAAGGTCACCTTGTTATCGGCAAAGGGAAAGGCAAAGTGAAATTTTGATCAACAAGAAAGATTTGCGGCGGTTAACTCGTCGTGAGGTCGTCGTTGAGAGTTTCTATCGACCAGATGGTTTACTGGGCCGCCAAGGAACTACTTCCGCAAAATCCTAAAGGAGAATAAACCCACTTGCGTCCAAAAGTAAGCCTCAATGCTAAATTTTTCTTCCTTACCATTAGGGTCGTCAGATAGTTCATAGAATGGCGATCCATAGACTGCCAATTCATAGAGTGCCAAACTCGTAGAAAGTTAAAACTCAAAGAATATTGCTTTCATAGAACGCTACAATTCAAAGAAT